GGCGGAGCTCAAAGCTTTCTTTATGAAACGGGTTGTTGTGTGATGACTTCATTCTCGTAATGTTACGACTTTATTTTCGTAATTTTATGACTTTACTCTCATAATGTTATGACTATTCTGGAATAATAAAAAAAATCTCTAGCCTGGCCCTAACTCACATCAGTACAGTTTTGGTGGGTAAACAGGATCATTTCTGTTAAAATATTTCAATATATATAGAAACAGTCGGTGAATAAAGGTCACAGCCAAATAAAAACACTGTTTGGTTCCACAGATAATCGTCGCATCGTCATGAAACCTTGGAAAACGTATCTAACCTTCACATATGCGCCAAGGAACCTATATATCAGCTGTTCAATGTCAGATGTTTATTAAGACATGGAAAGCCGTGGTATGCCTAGAAGAGTCCATAAACAACGTGCATTTTAACTCGTCTCTGTTGGGCTAAAGCTGATAAAGATGAATGTCATGATTCAGCACTTTTTGGTTCTGTTTTAGTTTCCTTTTTGAGTTTTCAGTTACAGTCTAATTCATGTCTTTCTGTGTTTTCTAGGTCATTGGTTTCATTTCCATTTTGTGTCATTCTAGTTGTTTTCTGGTTGTATTCGAGTTCTTGTGTATTTCTTGTTTACACTCTGCTGCCCCCTTGTGTCAGTCTCCTTCTCCTAGCTCCCTTCTAGGTCCTTCTGTCCACACCTGCTCCCAATCAGTTGATTACTCCACTCTTTGTTCTGTTTGGCATTTATACTCCTGCTCTGCAGTTACTCTGTGCTGGGTTCTCTTCATTCCTTCTCTAACCTAAGTGTTTCCCTTTGCTCAGGTTCCTGTTTTCCTTAATGAGTTATTTCTGGATTAATGCTTCTGTTGCCACCACTCATTAAATCTGCAAGAACCCAAACCATCTTCTGCATTTGGTTTTCTAAAAACCTCCACCAAACCTGACAAGGAGAGAGTTTGGGCTAATTGCTATTACAAGATGACCCAGCAGATTGTCTATGAGATGAAGCGTTTCCTGTGTGACAAACAGCTCTTAAAATTAACTGATTCATTTCTTTTCCAAAGATTCTTATTTTCAAATGTTTAGCAAACAAAATAATGCTTTCAATTCAGCATTAAAACAAAGTTTCTAGAGCATTAAACCTTCTGAATAAAGAATATAATGGTATCATGCAGTATATTTTTGATAAATCATAACTACAAAACAAGAAAGTAAACTGAAGCAGTTCACCTCCCATGATGCTTTGCGGGTCTTCAGCTTTGACTCGAAGGATATTTGGCCCGAACACAGTTGCCAAGTTCTGAACGTTCATCTTGTTACTGCTGGAGCAGCTCTGAACCTCATTTAAAAACCTGAACACAAACATTTATTACTCATAAGCTGCATAAACATAGAATTTAGCACCAACTTTAAAAGTCTTGCTGGATTTAATCACCAAAAATCTAAAAAAAGAATGAATTCAGACGGGTCATACTGGCAGATAAAGTCGAGGAGGTTGAAGTTTGCTACAGGTAACTCGTGAAGATGATTCCTCAGCTCCTCCAGACCCTGAGGCAAGCAAACAAATTGGATATAAGATATAAACCATGTAGAAGGAAACATTTTAAATATGTGCAAATCAAAGCTGCATTGTTTGCAACTGTTAGTGGTGTGTTTTTCTTCCTGGAGGTGTTTTATATCAGTCTTTGTGTCGTGGTGAACAGAGCAGTGATTACCACTGTACGGTCACTTAACAGCTTCTGACCGCAGAGCAGGAAGTCCTGGTAATGGCTGTAAGGAACCAGAGGTTCTGGTAGCTGCCTGAGGTAGAGCTTCAGCAGTGATGCTACTGTGTGGACGTCTGTGTTGCTGCAAGCAATTAAAACAACAGACCAGACTGTTTAACTGGATGTAAGGTGACAGCTGTAGTGGAAACACAGAAGAGGCTGTACCTGTCGAAGGATGGCCTTTCACCAGAATCAAAAGCCTCCTGCAGCTCTTTCACCAGACTGGTGCGTCCAGGCTGGCGAAACAAGCCCACCTCGTGCAGACCCCGTTCACGGATAAAGGTGACACACTGCTCCACCACCAGAGGAACCAAGCGCATCCCATACCGACGCTCGTACAGAACTGTCTCCTCCAGACGTTGCCCAAAGACTCCTGAAACAAAGGGAGAAAACCCGCCGTTAAAATAAGTCCTAAAGTCCGCCTTCTGTAAAACATGGGAGTCTACTTGAGTTCTCTACTTCTAGAGGTTATTATTTACTACCTCTGCAGATTAAGAATCTATGAACTCATTGAATTAGCAACATGTTCAGGAGTTTAAACCGTTTCTGTTAAGTTTATGGCAAAACAGTCAATGATTATAGTGTTAGGTCTCCAAGCAGCACTATATTAAACTTATAAACACATGAACCATTTGGTGTGTTGAGTTCTCACCTGTAAAAGGGATCCAGACTCCCTTGTTTAGGCTCTTCAGCCACTCATCACCTTGACCTGCACTGTTAGATAGGAAGAAATAGGAGCCTGGGCTGGCCAGCACGTCTCTGTTGCCTAAAAAAAATCAATGAATTTAGGGTCAGAAAGATCTAAAGATGTTAAAAAAAAGCCTCCTTCCTGGTATAAAACATTCAAATTTTATTGTTGCTTCCACAGTAAAAAACAGTCAAATATCACATTTCATAATAAGTGTCATTAAAGGCTGATGCAGTAAAGTTTTAAGATGTCACAAGAAAATATTTATTGCATGTTATTTGATGTAAATGTATTTGGAAATATAACAAACTGTTCTAATATGACTAAGTAGCTACTTGACAATGAAAGGGGGAAACACTGTGCAATAACTCTAAATGAAGATGCATGTTGGTTTGTTTTTGCCAATTTTAATGCTTGGCTCTATTTTATACTTTAATCATCAACCAAATATGAACAGGAGCTTTGGAAGCAAATAAATATAGCCTTCTACATAAAGGAATAAACAAATGTCTAATTTGTAATGTAAGGCAAGACAAGGCAAGGCAAATTTATTTGTATAGCACAATTCAGTACAAAAACAATGCAAAGTGCTTTACATGATTAAAATATAGGAAAATAAAAAAGAAATCAAAGCAAGTAGGGAAATAAATAAATAAATAAATAAATAAATAAATAAATAAATAAATAAATAAATAAATAGATAAAATAGAAAATGCAGAAACATAAAAGAATGTTACAAAAAAGTTGGACTAAAGAAAATTTAAAAGTTTAACTAATGATGTAGCCATGTGGCGTTTAGCCTCAGTCTTTAGAATAACAGAATTTATATTATTATTTATAAAGTCAAAAGACTATAAATAAAAAAAAGGTTGCTAAATTTAAGAATAAAGGTTCAGATTGTTCAAGAAATTTTATTAAAAAATATATTTTTTCTTAAATTTACTGTGCAAATATGCCAAATTATTTCCATCTTTATGAATAATTAATGAGTCAATTGTCCTACTGACAAAACAGATATTCCACAAAAGTAAAAAAAAAAACAAGTAAAAAAAAGCAACAACAATTCATTGGACTTTGTTTTCAAATTTGAAGACATTTCGCTTCCCATGCAGGAAGCTTTTTTAATATAAAATGCCTGGAGTAGGGTTTGAGTCCCAGGCTTATATAGTGGCCCAAGCAAATCCTTAATATGGCTAGAAACCATGCAAGTTGGTCCTCCCCTCAGTAATGAAGAGTCATTGAGGCCTTTGTTTAGTCCACTCTATAACCTGGAAACTCAGCGCTATTTCTGACATTTTGAATTGAAAAAGCTTCCTGGATGGAAGAGAAACGACTTCAAACTTGGAAACAAAGTCCAGAGGATTGATTTTTTTTTTTAGAATGACTATGACCTGGATGACTGAGAATCTTCATCAGGACATTACAGATATACAGTTTCTTACGATTCCTTACCAGCTTTTTGCATGTTTCTACTGATGTTTAGATTATTTATCTACCTTTAAAATTCTCCTTTAAATGTGGCATTGCTTGGTTGGGAGACCTACCTGCCATCCCTCTAATGTTAGCTCCTTATACAAACAACTAGTTAATCTACAGTAAGAAGGAACATGTTGGAAAATAAGGGCATTGCTTTAAACTAGTGTTGCATCGATACCAGTATCGGGCGGGGCCCCGATCCAGCCCTAAAATGGTGGTATCGGTATCGGCGAGTACCAACCAATAGGGCACTGACACCATTTTGAGAGCCAAAAGTTTCTTCAATTATTGTCCCCCATTCCAGGTAGGCAGTAAAAAGTTCTACTGGATTCTCTTTGTTTTAGTCTTTTTCCTGCTTCACAAAGGAAGGCAGCAGCTTGACATTAAGCCATGATGGACATTATTTTACATCCAGGTAGTCTACAGTTCTTTATATATAGACACACATTCATTTCAAACAGATGGTATCAGCCGATACTTCACTGCCAGGTATCGGTATATGGGCCAAAAAATGGCATCAGAGCTACGCTAGTTTAAAGCGAAGTTTGCAGATGACTGAATAATTTTGGTGCAGTTGTGTTTAGCTAGCAAGTTAACCTTAGATTTTTACTGGACAGCATGATGATTAAATACGGTTATTGTTAAAAATTAAGTTGACCTCTTATCAGACTGCATTTGAATCAAATCATGCTTAGTTTTATCATTCGGACTTTGGTCAGAGTTAATGAAGCTAATCAGCAGAATGAAAGCAGATTGTGTTTATATATGAAGTTTGCTGATGAAGATTCTCAGTCATCCAGGTCAAAGTCATTCTGTAAAAGTTTAGAAAAGACGATATTTGAATTGAGAAAGCCTTCTGGAGTGGGAGCGAAACGTCTTCAAACCTTGGAAACCGAGTCCAGTGGATCGTTTTTTCTAAACTTTTACAGAATTTATATATGAGGCTACATGAGCTAAAGCTCACATTAGTTTGATATTAACTATGTTTAACAGAAAAGTATTTTTAGCCAGATGTAGAAAACTTTGAGTGAATTTTGGACAATTGGAAGACTAGCTAGACTACTTTTTGAAGACAATTAAACTATTTCTAGCCCTTTTTGTGGATAATGATTTTCATTTTTGAGCTTTGCAACCCTCCACAGTAACATTGATGTTGAAGACCTTGTTTTTTATATTTATTTTATTTTAGTCAGGGCACATTTCTTTTTTAGATCTCTAGTGGATTTCTTGTCTTTAGAATATATGAAATTTCTAGGTTTTACAGGTCTGACAGTTAGGTGATAGCTGTTTAATGAGGGCCAACTTTAAGACCCAAATGCAGAGATGAGGAGGATGAGATTAGTTCTTGCAGATTTAATTTAGATGAAAAGAGAAACACAAATATAACCAAACCGGGAGATGCCAGGAGGAAAAACACACGAGGAACAAAGCAATAAGATAATCCAGCAATTAGGAACTGCACAAAAGATGTACAGAATATATGAGAGACCGAACAAAGACTGAGCTAATCAGGTGATAGGGAGCAGGTGTGAATGGAAGCAACTAGAAGGGAGCTAAGGGGAGAGGTGACTGGCACAAAAGGGCAGCAGAGAGTCAACTCAAAAAATACAACACTGCTGAAATATAGATAGAAAACAACTAGAATGACACAAAATGGTCAGGTTGAATTTGCATGTTTTTTAAGACACAAGTTTTAGTCCACTTGTTTTGGTCCATTCTATAAAACCTGGAACTCAACAATATTTCTGACATTTTGAATTGAAAAAGCTTCCTGGATGGAAGAGAAACGACTTCAAACTTGGAAACAAAGTCCAGTTTTTAATATTTTTGTAATGATCTGGATGACTGAGAATCTTAACCAGTCAATTCAGAATTCTTTTACTATTCAACTAATAAAATCATCCATTAAATACAGTATTTCTTCAGTTTATTTACTGGTTGTTTTTGTTTGCCTTTGGAAATATTTCTTGATGTGAAGGAGCTAAATGTTACTGGAAAAGGAAAAACAGATTCAATCTGTAACGGGGAAAATAAACCTCAGCACCTACAACTTTTCAAACACTTTCCTCTCACCCATTCACACCCTGTCCTCTTTCACCTAATTTCCCATCATCCCTAGCTTGTCCGCCTCAATGTCAATGTATACGCACATAACAGGACACACTCTGGGCAAAATGGCCAACCTGCTGACTCAGCATTTAACATGTTTCACTGTTGAATGAAACATATGCAGCTGGAGTTTGGAAAGGAAAGGAATATTCTGTTAGGCTGTAGATGCATGTCTTACCTTTGTGACCTGTGCTGTCATATTTCCATGACTTAAAGCAGCTGAGTCCCATCCTGCAAACAATCCCGGCCTGGTTGCAGATGTTTAATTCAAAGTGAGGACGTATTTTATCCAATTATAAAGGGATTTCAAAATAAAATCATTACACTATAATGAGACGGTGCAGGTGATCAAAAGGCCTATTTCTGGTTAAAAGGAGATGTATCATCAAGTGGATGTCCAGCATCCATTTGATGATACAGAGCAGTCTCTGGCAGACGTAGAAATCTCAGAAATAATATGAAATAAAAACAGCTTTCCAACTCAGATCCACAGACTTCAGAAAATCCTGCAAGACTCGTCAAAGAAATCTGAATAGTTTACTGGTAAAGATACAAAACTTTGTGAAAAATGTATTTTAATGACAAAGAAGACATCAGGAATCCCAACTTTGGCCAAAGTTGCTATCGGTACAGGAAGCCTCTTTTCTTTAAATATGTAAGTTTCTATAACAAGATCTTGGTCCAGAGAGGTTTACCTCGAGGAAAAGTTTTACAGATACAGATTCTCCGATGACAAATTAATGGAAAGAATCAGTTCTTTAAAAAATGCTCCATGTTAAAAAACAGCAATGAAGAAAAGTTGCTGTAGGCAGATGTGGAAAACATTGGATAATAATCATTGGTGTTGCCCTATTCTATTTCTGTAGACGAAGTTGTACTGATGCACAACTCTACAGAGCTTGTAGAGTAAATATAATCTCCCTCTGTTTTCATAACTGCCATTGTCCCTGTCCGTAATCATCTGTTCAAAATGACGACCATTCAAATGGATTCATAACAAATCCTGACAGAAACTGTAGAAATGATGAAAATGCGGTGCTGCTCCGTAAGCGACACACCAGAAGGCGGAAATGGTTGGTTGTCCTTCCAGATGTTTTCATTTGGTCCCAAAGCCAACAGACCTTCAGTTTTCCTTTTCTCTCCAAAGCTATGATTGTCAAGAAGACACCTTTGTAGAAATTGCATCCAAACCTTCCTAGATCCAACCAAAGTGGCAGGAATTGGATTTTTTTACTTGGCCTCTCATCGTTGGAGCGTCTTCTGACCCGCACTCTGTCTCTCCTGCTTAATATCTCCTGTTAGCCGTCGACACCAGAGAACAGAAGCTAAAGACATCATCTGAACTTCTTGCTTCTGTTTCTTTACACATATTTCTTTCCCGTCTAACCCCGTATTCGAAGATTTAGGAGACTTCATCCTCCACACTGGAAAGACGCCATGTTAGTATTCTGTGCTGCATCCTTTCTCCTCGCTTGTCTCTCTCTGTGTCTTCGTCTTTATTGCCTCTTTAACTGGACGTCCCGTAATCGTTTCAGAGCACAGCTTTCATGTCTGATGTCCATTTTTTGTTCGAGCTCCTTCCGTCCTCTTTCCGTCCTTCCTTCACTTCATCCCTTCTCTCTTCCTCTGTCCCTGTCCCTGTCTTTGTCCACATCCAACTTCTGTCTCACTCCCTCTATCCCCTTCTCTCTTTCTTTCAATTTCCCAGCAGTAAATGTGCCCCTTGTTGCCCCCCTCCCCATTTAGCTCATCAATAACCATGCTGGGCGTGTGCGTGAAGGCTGTGCATTAGCAAAATTGGTTCTCTGCGACGCAGAACTGTTTTACTAAAGTAATCACAGCTGATGGAGGGAGGGGGGGGGGGATGATCTGGCTGAAAT